TCGACACTAAGAGACAGTAATTCTAAAGATTCAGTCACAAGAGTTCAAGATACTCCCCTATGGTACAATCATGAGAAAATTGTTTTCGATTTGTTTTTATTCAATAGACTTTCTTTAATACACATAACACATCCAAGTACATATATATATATATAAAATGTGTTCGTAAATTGCTACTCTTAGATGTATGTTTGATTGTAATTTTTTATATTTTATATCTTCTGTATTTTATGTCTTCTATATTATATCTAAATTTTTTATATCTATATCTATATATGATATAAAAATAGATTTTATTTAGCATTGCATAATTATGTATAGATATTTTAAAGTCTATAGTTATTTTTTTCTATTTACATTATATTTCTAATTTTTATTTAAAATAAAAAATCATAATTAAAGAAAACTTTTTGCTCAATTTATGCAAATGCAAAGGGAATAATACAAAGGTCAAATAAATTAATCGAACAAAAATTAGATGGTGGAATAAACTAAAAATTTTTTTATCACTAATGGAAACACGAAAGTAATAACATGAACGTTTCGGTTTTACTTAGCCTTCATCAGCATATAAAATTAGCATTTAATACATTTATTTAAAAAAATATAAAGTGTACTACTAAATTTAGTGTGAATAGTATACAAATTCAACATTAACACAAAACATTTTGTAAGCGAAACAAATTGGTGACACATGTGAATTTAACAGTGTGTAAATCAGTTTGTTTAAAAATTGTTATCGCAAAGAACATTATTTTAAGTTTAAGTCAGAGAAAAACTACAAAATTATCAAAATTGACAAGAGGCCGTGACGGAGATCTCGAGAAACGTTTTAAAAAAAATTTTTTTAATTTTTAATTTATTCTATTATCTAATTTTTGCTCGATTAATTTATTTGATCTTTGTATTATTCCCTTTGTAAACAATTATAATTTTATTAAGCAATGTCATTATTTAAAATAAAACAGACATAATTTAAAAATTTTAATACGAATACGTTTCTATTGTACTATTGATACTACGTTTCTATTGTACAAATAATTCTCGCACCTTCAATTAATTTTATAAAAATTCTAAGACACACAGCACAATGTACAAAATAAATAAATATTATTGTTTTGTAAACTTTTTACAAAATTATAAATTTTTTAGAAACTTTTTTTTCTTTCCATATAGGAACAAATTCTTCTAAGCTAAAATAATTGATTTTATAAAAAAATATTAAGATAATTATTCATCAAATTATTTTATTCTTAAGTATACAATATATTGCAGAAGCTTTGACAAAGTTTATCAAGGAAAAAGCATCGTGATCTATTTACGATTGATCATATCTCTCTGTGTTTAATTTACTCTTCAACCGACGAGATGAGAAGTTCGATAGACGGTTGAATTCGAAACGGAACTGTGTGTAACAAGAGTGGTATAGATCTCGGTTGCAGATTGAGAGCTGAGTCTCTCGACCAAGTATGACTTATGCATATTCGGATACAGACATGAAAGGAAATTGAACAGCGCTTTCACACACAGGAAGGTAAAGCTGAAGCTCTGTCATCGTTTATAGACCATTTGATTAAAGGACTAATCTTATCGATCAAAATGGCCATGTACGCACGATGTCGCATTTATATTAATTTGAAACCACATATCGCGTAACCGATATGCCAGTGCATGCGATTGAACCCGTTCGTCATACATTCGATGATAAATTATTTTGTTCGTATATCTGTCCTACATCGACATCTCGATTCAAACATTAAAGCATATAGAATTTGTTTTGCTACATTTCTACAATATAATATTTGAAAAAATTTTCTTTTTCTTATTCAAACTGAATTTTAAAACTAATAAATAAGAATTAGAAAAAAATAAGAATTTAAAATGAAATTGTGTTAGTTTTAATAAAAGAACTATTTGACAGGAATTGAGTTTTACAACCGATGAAAACGCGATTAATATTATTGATAATAAAATTATAAAGGCCACTAGAATAATAATTGTGTTACTTGGAATTTTATCATGCTTGATAAGTTAATTTAATAAACGAGTTTTAGAATAAAAACTTTATAAATTATATTCAATTAATTTATAATATTTTATTTTTGATATAATTTATAACATGACTGATTTTTGTTAATATCACGCATATAGTATCATTGAACTATTATTAGATTTTTCTTTGATTTTTTAAGTTATATTTTATGAGTGATGATATTTGTAACATACATATATATTTATTACATGCATATTTATTACATGACTATAAAAAAAACATATTTCTGCTTTACGTGTTACAGAAATCAACATGTCCACTACAGAATCATGCAATGGTGATGCGAGCCCGACACGCCGGCCAAGGTAAAAAAATTTTAAAAATTTAAAATAACTACGCATCGGACAATAATTAAATTAAAAGTAAAATAATTCTATTCATTCGCGAGAAAGTGAAAAGCATGGTTTAATTCGTTTTGCCGTCCGTTTCCCGTTGGCAATTTCAAGTTCGGCTTCTGCCACGATAATAAGAGAACCATGAATTTCGTGGAAAGTATAACTCTTCCGCGGCACGTCCGTAATTAATTTAGTGTAAACGCAGCGGGATATTTAATCAGACAGTAATTTGTGACAGTTAGTGATTTGTCTCCATCTCTCTCTTTCTTTCTCTTTCTTTCTTAGTTAAATAATAACTTGCTACGTATTAATTATAATAATGCGATTGTCGGAGTTTAATATGCGAGAATCACAGATTGTGAACAAGTATGCGGATGATGTATGAGTTAATATATACTTTCATCACTGGAGAGATACAAACTTCGCAGTGGTTGCGTGATAATGAAACGCCGCATTATGTTGTTGCCACCAGAAAAATGAGTTGCGGTTATAACACTTTCGCAGAATTAATTGATCGAATCTAAGCGCTAATTAAAATGTTTATATAAGTTTGCATAATAATAAAAAAAGATAAAATGTAATATATTGTAATTGCATAATAATAGAAAAATAACAGAAAGAGGAAGAGAGAGAGAGAGAGAGAGAGGGGGGGAAGAAAAACAAAAAAAAATAAGATGTGTTTGTGTGTATAAAATATTTACACACATGTTGGAATTATATACAAAATAGCTAATAATATTCGTCTATTCAAAGCGTGTTTTAGAATTTAATAGTGATAATAATAGTGATTAATATATATATATTAATCCTTAGGATACATATTAATGAAAGAGAAGATTATGTGAATATCACATAATGAAATAACTTTCTTATAAAAATTCAATTTTAGTTTTGATATAATTTATTAATGCTCTAACATATTTATTCCTTCTTCTTCTTTGTATATATTTGGAGAATGTAAAACACTTCAGCGTGCGCAAATATTGTTCAATCTTATTAAATATCGTAAGCTATGAGAATTTGTGATTTTTGGCTCGAGGCCATGCAATACTTTTCGCGTTAACAATATCCTTGAAGTCAGTAACAAAGCAAAGCTTTGATCGAACCTGAGGCATTAGCTTCTCCGGCCACAGCTCTTGCTAATCCGAACTCATGGATGGAGTTTGCAGTTGACCCGAATCTTCTTATGAGGACAAAAAGAAAACTACAGTTGAAAACGAAAACGAAAACAAAACCGGAAATAAAAACGAATGGAAAAAGAGAGAAAAAATTATCCTAGAGATTATCTGCTTCAATTTCTATCGCAAAGAAGTTAAGCGTACAATGAACCTAATTTTTGAAAACTATATTAGTATTATAAATATTAATGATAAACATTAATGATAAATATGAATTGCAAAAAGATATTTCAATAAATCTGTTTTTGTTAATGATTCTAGATAGGTATTTGCAACATGACGGTCGTTGTGCGTAACTTTAACGATCTCAATCATTCGGTACTCAAACAATTTAACGACGAGATCAATATTGTGATTGAGTCTTCTAATAGTAATTTTTACGATCATTAACTATGACGCGATAGTAATTCAGTTGTTAATAAAAAAGATATAAATGTATCTTTTTATGACGCAGAAATTTCTTTAAAATTATTTTAAAAACATTTTCTTTAATTTGGCAGTTAAATTAAAAATAATAATTATATTGTTACTAATAATACGCAAGCCCACATTTTAATACATTCTTCAAAATTTAATACATTCTTTTTTTATATTTTAAATATCTTAATAATATGTAAATATTAATGTATAAGAATATAATAATGTAATAACAATACAGAATAATGTATTAGAGCATATAATATTTGACAATTATAAATTTTAAAATGATAAAACTGAAAAGCTGCAGCTTTAAGCAAATGAGAATATAACAAAAATGAATAGAATAAAATAATTTTTATTATTTAACAAGATTATTATATATACATTTTTTTACATTTTGTACAATTATACATTAATTATATTTACTTCGAAGCGTGTTTAAAGGCAGAATTATTAATTTATATACGAATATTTTTTTATTTCTTATATTTATTATCCATATAATATACTTACCATATATATACTTATCCATATAATGTATTGTGAGGTCAAAAGAGTATATAATTAAAGATAATTTAATAATAATTTATTTTTTATATTTCAGGGAGAGAATTCATAGTGTTGGTCTGCCAGCCATAACATCTTTACTTCCGGAACCGCCACGCACCGGAAATGATATACCACCGCCAATACCACGTCGACATTCTGCCACGCCGGCGGTAACAAATTTTATTTGTTTCTAGTTTTAATTTTGTAAATTAGTATTCTATTTAAGCACAGTTTAAATATGATTTTGTGCATTGTTTTATATTAAATGTACTTTGAAACAATAAACATGATGATATTTAACAAATCTTGGACATTCCATAAATAAAACATCTTATTTAATACGCACAAATCATTTATTATATTTATTATTTATTTATTAATATATTTTATTATATTATATAAATAGTTACATTTTAATAATTTTGTTAAAACTTACTTATATCAATAAAAAATTTTCCTCTTGTTTATTATGTATAACATAACAACATGAAAAAAAAAATTATAAAAAATTAAAGTAGTACATTTACATATAAACGTTTTTAATATTTTCCATATTGAAAACGTTTAAATTTAAAGAAATAAAACAGACAGTATGAAATCTAACTGTGAAAGAGATTACTTAATATAAAATATTATCACATATACAGTAGCAATGCTGGTTTACACTAATTTAAAAGAATATTAATTATTAAATTATATGTACAAAAATACAAATGCATATATTTATAGTTTGTCATAAATATTATGATACATCACGGCTGAGAAATATTAAAGAGAAAATTGTAATGATGATTAAAAAAGAATAGGAGTTCGCGAGACGGGAGATATTAAAAGGATTTTCGAACTTTATATCTCCTACGCAGATTAGTTCGGAAAGTTGCGACCGCATGGTCGGCATCCCGTATCACATAATCTCAACACCTTAAATCACGCAACTAAAGCCCGGTAGTTAGTGGTACGCCGCTACTTTGCGAATTAATATCGGCGAACGAGAAGATTGTCCGACAAAATTGAAAGCCTGTACTAAAAGGCTTTTGTAAAAAAAAAAAGAGAAAAGAAAGCAAAAGCGTAGAACTTTTATGTATATGTAATACAATTTTAAGCAATTTATTTAGTTCTCTTGTGATTCAATAAACAGTAAAAAGTTTTAATTTTTCAACCAAACTGTTTATTATGTCACAAATTATTATACATGAATATAAATTTCTTTAAACATGAACACTGAATATTAAAAATTGAAATCTTTTTTAAATATTTTAAAGTGTAGCGTTAACTGAAGCGTCGTTAATCGATAAACATTTATCAACAAATTCAGGAATTATAATGATACTCAAACTGTTAGAGATTTGTGCTGAGTTCATTGAAAATACTCGAGATATTAAAGAGCGATTCACGCAAAGAGAGTTTGTTAATGCAATAAATGCTGGGAGCTAATGAACTTGCGTGTTACTTTACGTGTGTCAACAAGCCAGTTAAACTTGATGCTTATCTTCGAGCAATGATAAGCGTTGTAACTTTGCGCGTAACTTTCATTAATTAACGCAAATTACATAGCTTGTTGCCAGTTCTCTTTATGAAACGGCGATGTTTCTACATTGGATTATACATCCGTTTAGCTGAAATAAAATACAAAAGTTTTCCTCAAAATTTTAGATATTAGATTTAAGTTTAATAAAGAGAATTGTTTAATTCTTCATTTCTAAGCAGACATGTCGGATTTTTAAATTTATATTGATATTGATATAATAAATAAAATTGATATAGCTATCGATATTTCTACAAAATAATGAGATTGTAAAAAATCTTCTTATGCATCTGAGAACATAGAGATAAGTAAAAATTGTATTCTATTCTTTGTACAGGTAGCACCACCCCCGATTCCGCTAAGACCGCCGGCAATCCCGAAAAGAAGTAAAAATGAGAAACCTATCCCGGTGCAACTTCCAACCAGATCAGGCAATCAAGTAACTTCTTGCAAAGCGAATGATTCTTCGTCTACATCTTCCTTAGGAATATCGACTACATGGAATACTATGGATACGACGAATCCAAAACTTATAGATTTGAGTCCCTTCAGGAATCAGAATCAAATATCACAGGTGATATGAAATTATCCTACACTCTCGGCTAAATTCTTTTAAACTTGACAAACGCAAAATAAAAAAAATGTAATGTAAAAATAATAAAACCCTTTATCTTTCTAAAATTAAGCTTAAATCAAATTCTAAATTGCAACACAATACACTAGCTCAACTTACGCAATTATTAAATTATTATAAAGTATATTTTTTAATATAAATATTAGATATAAATATCAAATAAAAAATAGATTAAAATATAAATATTATTTGATTTCTAAAGAATTCACTCATTAATAATTCAACAAAAAAAATAGATGTTTTGTAACTTCTTTTTTCTTGAATAATATTAAAGATAATGTTTATAAATTTATTGTCTTAAATACGAATTAATTATTTCAAAGTGCAATACTTGCACTAAAATTATTCATTCGGAATAGAACTTGTTTATACAATTCCGTCTTTTCGATGACTTGCAGGATTACTTGTTGAATTACGGCGAGAAGAACTCACGGCGGGAAACAAACAAGCATAATAATTTTGTGGCTGACTTCGAGCGAGCGAATTTCCAAGAAGGATGTAAACTCACGCAAAACTTTGAGTTGCAAAAGGCCTCTTCGGATCTCGAGAAACGGCTTCACGAGAGGATTAAAAATACCGAGGCGAAGTTTGATTCGAATGGTCGTCAACGACAGTGTTCGGTGTCACGGCATAATAGGTAATGATAATATTATTTCCATATGATTCTGTACATATTTTTTACAAGCTTTCTCAAAAGAATTACATATAATTTGTGCACGTTTTTTAAAAAATAATTTGTTATTGCTGTCATGTATGTCACAATTATTTTGTTACGTTTGATGCCGAATATTTATTTTAAGTAGTCTGCGTTGAAACTATACTTGAACGCAGGATTTTGCCATGCTTCACTATTAAAATACACACACATAATGTTGGTTCGGGCTGACCTGCAGCAAAATATTACGGACGATTACACTCGCGATAGGTTCGTTAAACTGTGAGGTCAGACTCCATTTCGACAAACTAGAAATGAAAATATTGAACATTCTTGAAACCAATGGTGCACTTCTCCACTGTTCAAGTATCTTCCATATCATAGTTTAGTATATAATCGCATATGACGGTGAAGAACCAGAGTAATGTTTTAACAGAACCGCTTATTACAACATATTTGTAATATATTTGTTTAAAACAAGTATTATAAGTATTATAATTCTTTTTGATGATTATTCTCTAATGGAATGTTGTTTTTGTAAAAAAAAAATTAATTGCTCGATTTTTTGCATTAAGAAATAGTGTTAATTATTTGTAAAATAATAAATTCTCCAATTTATTGACTACATCACAAATTTTGGTAATACACAGTTGTTATATGACAAGAAATGATATTTTTACTTCGATGAAATAAAGATATATTTTTAAAGACTTCTTCCCCTTTCATATATAGACAGCAATTGTCAAAGTTTATCAAAGAGAACGAGTCTAGTAGTTGCGAACAGAGAGAATCGTTTGAGAGCAAACCCAAAAAGGAAGAAATGGCATTACCGCGAAGGGAGATCTTTCAAAAAGATGAATTAAAATACGCAACGATTTTGACTTCCGGTCGCGAGCGACGATCGAAGTTTGAGGAATTGCAAGCGGCGTCAAAAAATTTAGAAAGACGTTTGCACGAAGACGACGATTATCGTCGACGTCAGGAAATGGAAAGACGGATAAGCAAGGACAAGCTCAGGTATAACAAGTTTCATGTAGCTTCCTTCTTATTTTCGTCATTTTATAGAATTTCATTCTCTGGTTTGAGAGCGTTTACAAGCAAATTGCTTGATTCGCAATAAGTGTAGACGCGCGATTCGTTGCGTTTAGATATGAGGACCTGGATGCAATCCCGAATGATCTCGACAAACGTTATCATGGTGAACAGAGAGCTTTAGAGCAGCAACAGCAACATCCGATATTACGGAGCAAGTATGAGAATGACATGGAGAGAGCTAGGAATATTCTTCAGCATAATCTGAGAAAGGAGCGAGTCGGCGGCGGCGGCGGCGGCGGCGAGAAACTTGAGAAATTGCCAAAAGCAACACAGACAAATCTACCACCCCCTCTGAGCGCCATTTGTCAGAGTCCCGTACCGAAACCTATCAGTGTCCGGCAGGACAGCAACGTTTCCTCAGATAGTTTCAGTCAAACCAGTTCGCCCAGTTATACTAGCAAGACAATGGAAACCCCTCTTCTGCCTCATAAGCACGGAAAAGTCCCAGGTACGTTCAGACTTTGCTGAAGTTTATTTGATTAGTTGTCTTATTTAGTTGTTTTACAGGGTGTTACGAAGTGTTATCATTAGCGAAGAATTCACCGGTAGAAAGGATCGCGTTTAGCGTCAGAAAAGAATTCGATTGATTTTTACGCTAGTATGTAATACAAACAACTTTTATGAATGTGAAAAATAAAATCACGTGGCTCAGTTATCGATCTATTCTAAACAGTAGATAAATCTGCAATCTTTGATTTATTTAACGAATCATTGGAGAATGAATATTTCACAAATTAATCTCTCAATCAATTCTAATCTTTGATAAAATTACAAAATTTTACAATTCTATTTTCTGAATTAATTTTTAACAAAAGATTTTCTCGATAAAATTTTTTGCTTATGATATTTTACAGAATCACCTTTTTTATGAAGGATTATCTTTCAAACCTCCGCGTTTCTATATCAAGATAAATATGACATATATTGTTCCCTTCCTCTTTTGCGACAATATTTCGCATAGTTTTCCAAATATTCAACGCAAGTTATGATTATGATTAATAAATTATATCTTTGGAATCTTAATAAAATTTCATCATAAATGATAATATTAAAATCAGAACGTAACACTTATAATAATAGTATTAGAAGTTAATTTTATAAAATATTAAAATATAAGAGAGACGTGTTTTATGACATTTTTTTACGATAATAGGATACATCTCACGAATTGAAATTTCTTCTTTATATTCCGTCTCTTTCGTGAAGCTTAAGGCATTTCTTGAGAACGACAAATAAATGCTGAAGCAAAACGCGACAGCTGAGACGAAAAGTTTTTTCTGTTTTATTGCATTCCATCATCTTATTTTCTTTTATTCTCTTTCGACGTTGTGTTACCTTTAAAGCAGTCTATTCGAAGCAAGAGGAATATAAAGTTTTCTATAGCGAAATTCATCTGTAAAAGATTTCAATTCGTATGTTGTCTACTGCCCCTATCTCTCGATTTGTAAAACTTAGAATCTTGGAATCTTCAGCATTTATCTTGGAAGAGACGCAACATATTGACAAATCGATGACAAGAAAAAAAATATCGATATTGCTTTTAATGCCTGTAGACAGAGCGTTGGTATCAGAACCCGATAACTCATCTGGTAGACCGATAACGAAATCCACGAGTACGCCGGCCAGTTTGCAAACCATCGTCAGGATGCATGCCGGGAACAACAGCTCCTTACATCACAAAGTAAGCGCCTAAATGTAACGCCAACTAATATCATTTTTGTCAATAGACAAAGAGATAAAAATATGAGGCACTTATTATGTATCTCTGACATTATAAAATTAAACTATTTAATTTTATATATGAATATAGATTTAATTTCTCTCATTTCAATTCTCCCCTGTCTCATTTACCGTTTATATTTGACAAATTTTGTAATAAATGTGTGTTTGCGAGAGTACATATTCTAAATTTTTTTTTATGTCTGCTCAGATAATCAGAGATATGACTAGTACCCACTACGTGACAACGGGAAGATTACGTTTCAAATTTGTCCAAGTCCTGCTTAATGCCATTATTCTTTTGGCCATCGCTGGCGGTTTAGCTGCATATTTCAAAAGTGAGTAGATTTAATTAAATTATAATTGAAATGTTTTCGGTGTGCAATATTAATGAGCGATTTAAAATAGTCAAGATTTAAAGAAATGAAAATATCAATATTGTCAAAATATATACAAGTGTTAAAAACGTAATTGTTTTTCCGACAAAGTATAAATATTGCAAGTAAAGTTGAAAAACATCACGATGTAAATAACGATGTAATAGTATTTGACTGAAATAAACATGATTGTTAAACTCTGCGAATACTTTAATATGTGTGCACGTGCAACAACGAGCTTCACGAGACCGAAAGGTTAATAGCGAGTTGCGAGTTCTCGTAACCTATTTGATTCCAACTGTCAACATTAACTCTCAGTAAACGAAAAGCATATATCGAACTCTATCTTTACACACACACACACACACACACACACACACACACACACACACACACACACCACGCGCGCGCGCGCGCGCGCGCGCATATTATGTATATATATAAAACATATGTGTAACGTGTGTGTGTAAATTTATATGTAAATATAACAACAAATTATATTATTACAACAAACAATATTATATTTAAACAATAAAAAGAGCTGTCATGCTTTATAATTTATCTTATTATATTATGGAATACTCAAAACACAAAGAAAAATTAGAAATAAAATTTCTTTCACCTTTTTAAAAAAAGTATTTCTCAAAAATTATATTAATATCAATATTAAGCTTCAAATGATGCAAGACAATTTACAATTATTTTTACTTATAATTTAATTTCTCTAGTTAATATTGACCAAGAAAGGAAGGGGGAAATGACAGAGAGAGAGAGAAAACAAACTCGTAATACTGAAGAGCAAACAGCGTCGATATTCGCCCGTAGGTACTTACATATTTATGGCCGTAGTAAGTGATCCCCTAAAGCGGATGGCGCGTCGTTTAAATAGGCTTTACAAGCAGCGGAGAACGTGTAATTTTTCGTCATCTCGCGGAACCCTAGTTTGGGAGGCGCTGGCTGGGAGAGAAAGGGAGGCACGCCGTCGTTCCGAAGACCCAGGGTCTCGGTGAATCGTGTTTCGGAGGGAGACGAGACGCGCGTCGGAGTCGATGTATACGGTGGCTCGTTCGAGTTACTGAATGGTCGCGCACGCGATACGCGGAGTTTATATGAACGGAGCGAAATTATGATTTCCCACTGATATATTCGCGGAACCGCGTGACGCTACGACGTGTAGTACCTGCCTATAGTAGAGGAATGTGATTCACACGATACTCATTCAGTTATTCTGAAGTAGCGTCATTCGGTTAAAGTTTAGAGTAGAGTCGAGGGTGATTCTTGAACGGCATCCAAGTATGGGTGCTGTTGGACGTTTTTCTAGGAAACTAGGCAATTTTACGATTCTGAACACGAAAACTGCAGATTTCAACCATTCCATCGAGTCATTTGTCATATGATATGATATGTCTGCTTATTCTGAGGATTATTATTCTTTTTTTTTTTTACGAAAATTCTACTATTATAATAATCGAAAAAAATACACATTTTTTTTTAGAATAAAATTAATATTAAAAAGTTCTGTGTAATATATCCTAAATAATTATATATAATGGAAAGTAAAAATTATTAATTAATAATTAATTAATAATTTTACTTTTCATTATAATTAATTAGTATTCTATTATCGGTTAATATACGATAACATATTAAAACACAATAAAAACTAAATTATATAAACTTCAAATAATAAGAAAAACTTTATATAAAAAGATTATTAAGGGTAAAAAATTCTGTCTTGACTAAAGAAATGTCTATATTATATATTTTTGTATTTAAATAAGAGTAGATTTATAACTCTTTTAAATCAGATGAGATGCCAATATTATCTATGTCATGTTAAATTTCTAATATACTTTTTATTCTGTTTTAATAAAATAAAAAATATAATATATAAAATATAATACATTAATCGGTATACATTTTCTAATATGTAATCTTAATATGTAATACAAGAGTGATTCATACAACATTATACATAGATTTATATATAGATATGATTCTGGAAATCACATTTAGTAATTTAATATTCTTGTTCATATAAATTCAGAAAATAGAGTACTTTCCCATTGCTAATATGACATCGATTATCGAATATAGAAAACGATTATTAATGATTTATATACATTTTCGAGATTTATATGCATTCATGCGAGATCATGAATACCTCATTATTCCGCGAATGTTGGTAAAGTCCTGCGGAGTACATGCAAATATTAGCATTTAGTCTGAAGATATATAATCTGGAATGCTTAATGTGAACTTGGACAATGATTGTATGTGATGTACTATTATTATTCTTGAAGTTGTGAGTCGTATAATGAATAATTTACAGTTTGCGAAATAAACTTTGTATTAATCGAAATCACATTATGGACTACATTGTAAAATTATTGGTCGTCTAACAAGTGAAGTTTAGTCTTTACTCCGGCATGGAAGTAATAATGAGCACGAATACTTCACTTCGATATTACTTTTTATCTGTTAAGTGAAGGTTGCATGTTTATTATAATTTTTATATTTTACCGCAACATTAATAGCGCGTTAAACGATCAGAACGATCCGTTCGCCGTAGCCATATAAGACAGGACTTCGGTATCGTCACATCGACAGAGTTGCATGCATTTCCCGGAGAAATTAGGACGTGATATTACACATTTGTTATCCATACTTGACATTATCATCTACGGAGGGAAGCGAAGGAAGTATTTCGACGACCAGCGCGGAATAGTTAAGAGATCCCTCCCTCCCCTCCATTATTCAACATCCGCGTCGTCGTAAAAATCGTGCTCTGTTGCGCCCAATCTCGGCGCTTTTGGGAAACGAGAATCCTGTCGAAGGAGAGATCGCTGAGAGGAATCCTATGTATAGAGGTTGCACTAAAAAATTTCTTAACTAAGTTTTTCCGGAATATCTCTCGCCGATATATATATATATATATATAGAGATTAGAG